CAGTAGAAGTATTCCCGTCACTGAGTGGTAGAGTTAAAGTGAGAAGAGGTTAACGTAACCTAGCTGCTTACCCGGCCCTGGTACCCTCAGGTACAAGGGCTGCAAATATACCTACACGTTTTTGGCGCTTACAGCCTTATTAGATGGTTGGATCCTTAACTATTTATTTTTCGGGCTTAACATTTTTAATTATTTTTATTTCCCCAACTGCAGGTGGAGACAAAACGTGAACTCCTGAAGACAGCTTGTGACCAGCACCAGCATCTTTATCGAGATGCTATGGTGGGCAAGGCAGTCGATCGTCATCTCTTTGCCCTCTATGTTGTCTCCAAGTTCCTCAAGTCCGACTCGCCCTTCCTTAAGGAGGTTAGTACTCATTCGCTGTTTTTTTATATAGTCTCCGATGGTGTGTACCACTTCAGTTGCCTAGTTTCTGTCAATTTGACACTAAAATTGTTGTACTCACTGGAAGTTTGCAGCGTAAATTGTACGTCTAATTTTTGGCCTTTGGTCCCTCCCGTTGACGAGGTTCTCGTCTGCTGGCTGTGGATCAGTTTCCCAAGCCACAGAAAGTCACCTCGAAATCTTCTATTGTCCAGGCGCAACTAATTGTTCAGTTCATTGACAGTTCATTCCATCGAAGTTTTACATGTGATCCGCCGACACAAACCGCGGTTGAGCTTTACTCATTAGATTATTCCCGACAGAACCGTTAATTACGCTGAATTTTAAAAAGTAGGCCCAAAGCCGACCAAATTCGCATTTTCACCATTTGAATGTGCCCACTGACGACAAGACAGTTTGCATAATCGGCAGCTGGTTATATTTGAATTCACTTCTCAATTTTAGCTCTTATTATCAACAATTTTTCGGCTAACTTCATCCAGATGTGATGAAACTGGCGGTTCCTGGTCGGGACTTAGTAGCTCAGGTGTTTGAGTCGTTGGATGTATACAATCGTGTCTATCGTGAGTTTTATGCCCCATAGAAACCGTCGTGCTCTTAAAATTAGGGTCAGGCTAAATGCTCTTGTCTGGTCAATTCTAGCGTAATCCCCACACTGCGTCATTAGTGGACGAACCCCAGTCGGTTCGTGTCTTCTATCCACGCTGTAGGCCCAATACGCGGATGCGGTTGTGGGACGAGTCACGTGGCCTCGGTCAGGGGTCACGCGGCTTCGGTCCGAGGTCACGTTTGCGCCATTTGTCGAGCAG